CACACACACACACACACACACACACACACACACACACACACACACCCTGAAAGCGACCCTTACCTGGGCGCCATCTGGGCCAAGTTGGTGCAGATCAGGGAGCCCCAGTCCCCGCCTTGAGCGTAGAACTCCTGGAAGCCCAGTCGCAGCATCAACTTGTAAAAGATCCTGGCAGTGGCCACAGAACCCAAGCCTGGTTGGAGGGGGAAGAAGAGCACACCCCAGGGAGGTCACTCCTTGGGCCTCCAGGGGCCCTGTGGAATCCCTCAGGCTGAGATAAAAGCAGGCTAGAATCCCGGGGCTCACGTGGTAAGGGTAAAGGGTGGAGGTGGGAGCACGTGGGGGGTCCTGGCCAGGCCTATCTCTGTGGAGGGAGCTGTGAGGGACAGCCATTCTCCTGCCCAAGGGCCCATACCCACTTAACAGTGGGGTTTGGTCAGCCTTGCCAGCCTGGAACAGTCTTGAGTGAGATGCAGACCTGCCTCGAGTGAGAACTAAACGCCTAGGCCCCCAACAGCACTGACTACAGTCCCTCCCTCTGCATCACCCAGTTCTCCTGGATGCCCCTGGACCGCAGTGCCAGGCCCCTTTCCCTCGCATTCTCAGGCCCAGCTGATGCCCCGCCTCTTCCTCCTCCCCAAAGAAGTGTCTGATGGGAGACTCTCGCCCAATCTGGGTGAAGGCGAGTGGGCACAGTGCCTCCCGCTGCCCTTACCCTTCTTGGAGGACGCCTCCGAGAAGCCGTAGCCCGGAATGGAAGGGCAGATGACTTCAAAAACATGCTCGTCGCTCAGGCCGTGGCTCTTGGGGTCAGTCAGGAAAGGGATGATCTTATAAAACTCGTAGAAGGAGCCGGGCCAGCCATGCACCATCAGCAGAGGTTTCGGGGTGCGGCCTGCAGGCAGCTGTGGAGGCTTCACGTGGATGAAGTGGATGTCCAGACCTGGGGGAGAGAGAGGGCGGGGCTCCTGTTATCGCCCACTCCAACGGTGGCCTCTCATGGCAACAGTGGCCTACACTGCACCTCGGTACAGCAGCACGGCGACGGAGGTGCACTCGCTTGTCGACCCGTGCCGGCTTTCTTCACTGGGCTGCAGGATTCTTTTTGCCCTGTGGTTTTTTCCCCCTTCTAATGAAGTGCTTATTTGTTCTCCTGACTAATTTTTCTGATGAGTGGTCACATGTGGGATACAGAAAGATTTCTCCCAAGTTGTCTCCCCCAAACACATGCCAAACCTAGCTGCTTGCTACACATGGCAAATGACTACACTTGGAGGTCAAGGAAAGTAGGTCAGAGGTTATTCTCCCTAAGGGTGATCAGCCATCTGGAGCAATCAGACTGTATAGTCTGTACCACCCTAAGTAGGGCCCACTCCCTTCTGATAAGGATAGTAATAGATCGTTTCCTTGAAGGAGAGCCCAGGGAGGTCAAGCCCACTCAAGGGTGATGGTGACCAAGGTTAGGCTGCCATCATGAATCTAGGGTCCGCCCTTCTTGTCACATGTATACCTTTAGTTCCCTCCTTCCTATTATGTGTACACCCCTAGCTCATCCCTTTCCTGCTACGCTTATGCCTTTGTATATCCCCCTCCTATGGTTCGTATTGCCTATTGTACAACCCCTTCCTGTGACGTATGTCTTTACCTGTAATTAGGAGCATGCATACACCCCAAAGATATATAAGCCTTGGTTAGCAATAAATCACACACCCTCTCCTGTCCTCTCGTCTACCATCTCCACAAGTACCACCAAGCAGGGCTGAGGTGAGCATGCTACTATGAACTATGTCTGACTCCATTATTTCATTCTCTTATTCTCTATGACTTTACTATAACCTTTATTGATCATCGCTGTACAATTGCGCCTGCCGGACCCATGATGCTTTGTTAGGGGCTGGCTCCCCTGACAGTCACATATTTTATTGGTTTTGTAATGGGGTGAGGAGTTAAGGCTATTGGTTTTTGTCATCAGTCCTCAAGCTAGTAAGGCACAGATGATTTGGGCTCAATGGTTGACAGAAAGGTTGGTTGTTCAGGCTCCCCGAGCTGGGCCACCCAAGAAAGGCCTGGACCTTACAGAGCAGCAGCCACCCCAGGCAGAATCAGCTCAGCAGGTTCCCTTTGCATTCTTCGTCCAGGTGCGGCAGGTAGCACCCTGCCCCCCCCCCACCAATCCCCCCTTAAGCGAAATGAGAAAACAATGTAGGACTGAACCAACAAAATCAATTGACAATTAGAAACAATACAAAAGTAGCTAATAGAAATTGTGAAGATTAACACTGAAATTTCCAAAATAAAGAGCTCATTGTAAGGCAAAAGAATATAAACGATGGCAGCCAGAACCCATGAAATTGAAGACAGAGCTCTTACTATTAATATGTTGGACAAACGGTAAGAAATAAAGCTCCAAAATTATGCAGGACGCTATTGAGAGGAATAACTTATGTATGATTGTTATTCCACAACAGAGACAGATTTTTTTAAAGGGGCATTGAGAAAATTGCAAAATCTTTGTTGGCAGAAACTCTAATATCACGAAGGACCAGAAGATACATGTTCAGAAAAAAAAAAAAAAAAAAAGATACATGTTCAGAAGTTGATCCTACCCCAAATAGGGCAGACGCCAAAAGATCATCGCCAAGACATATCCTGATCAAAGACAATCCCCACGGCAGCAGGGCCGGTGAATTCCAGATGACTTTGGTGAGCAGCTTGGTGTGACTATCCTTATCAGTGGCAAAGAGGGGCAAAGATCAAAGATGCCAGGGCACAGTGAGCCCCTGGACCATGTGAACCTGCACCTCCACCACCTTAGAACCAGAGCAAGACTGTGCCTGGCAAACCCTGCTGGGGGCTACATAAAAGGGGTCACAATAGAGGATCCTCAATAGAGCAGGAGAAAAATGTGGAAGAAAACGCAAGACTCATAAAAACGAAAACAAAATTCCAGGCTGATGGAGACTTGTGGAACCTCAGACTAGGGCCACTTGACACACACCCTCCCCACCTGGCCTGGAACTAACACTCCTCTTTCAGGCCAACAATCGACAGGCCTAGAAGGTGAACCTCACACCAGGGAGCGACAGGCTCCCAGACCAGTCAACCGCAGGAGAGCCAAAGGGCAGCTTTGTCCAGGGATGCAGCTCCGCAGGAGGGACAGAAAGGCAGGTGGAATGGGACCGGGAGACACGGAGCAAGTGGGAAGAGTGCTGTGACGTCGGGGCTCCGCGATCCACGTCACTGGCTGGAAAACCCACCTGCTCTGTGAACTTCCAAGTAAAGCGCAGCCAAGAGCACAAAAAGGAAAAGACCGAGCTCTCTAAGCATGCCGCTTCCAGTCTTTATTCTGTGCACACACGTCTGTAAAATGCTGAAGGTCACTCCCTAGGGACCTTTGGCGAATAGAGGGTTGCGTTTATAAACTCGCTTGATGACACTCCTTTAAAGACTGCCAACTATATTTATGATTTCAATTTCCTTTAAAAAAAAAACGTAGCTGATCTGACAGACCAATGAACCGTTTGCAGACTTCAAGTAATTCCTAGAGGTTGTTAAATGACATGTATAATATGGTAAGGCTAAAATATTTCAGCACTGCAGATAAACTCAGAAAGATTTCCATATAAAATCACAAGTCAGCACACAACAGAGGGAATCCAGGATAGATTAAACCCCTCAGGGAAAACAAGGAGAGTAGATACCAGGAGGATTACAGGAGGGTGGGGAGAGAAAGGGGGAACCGATCACAAGGATCAACCTAGAACCCCCTCTCAGGGGGATGAACAATGGAAAAGTGGGTGAGGGGTGATGGAGGACGATGTAAGATATGGAAAAAATAATCTAACTTATCCAGGGTTCATGAGGGAGGGCAGGCAGGGGAGTGAGGGGGAAGAAATGGGGAGCTGATATCAGGGGCTCAAGTGGGGAGAGAATGCTTTGAAAATGATGATGGCGGCATATGTGCAAATGTGCTTGACACACTGGATGAAAGTGTGGATTGTGATAAGAGATGTAAGAGCCCCCAATTAAAAAAAAAAAAAAAAAAAGCACACGTCGACATCCCTGACTCAATCACACCTTTGAAAGCAGAACCTCAAGTCTAATCCGTGACCTGAAAAAGGCCAAATTCTTTTATAGTTGAAATTCCAAACATGCACCGTCTCAGCCTAATTAAGTACCAGTGTGGGTTTCGTGTTCCTACTCAGATTTCCACGCTCGATTCTAAATCTTTCTGGGGTGAAAAGACGTTTCTACGTTTCTACTGATGATTTGATTACCCCACCCCAAATGATCTTGGGGTTACCTCTCCAAGCACATTTTTCCTTCTCGGCCAGCGACGGGTGAGTGACAGGCTGGGGTCCGGTCGGCACATGAGAGCAAATGGTGCAGTCGGACAGGGCTGTTGGCCTCGGCCCCTGACCCACACTAAGCTCCTACGACAGTCATGTCAGACTCCAAACCAGCAAGAAGAGACCCATCCTCGGCCAGGCCCAGCCCGAAGTGTGACCTCCGTCCTCTCAGGAAGAGAGTTACATTACGGGACTGCGTTCTGGCCTCACCTGATACATGTCTATGTAAGCGTGTGTGCGGACAATCGATTCTGCTCAAAGGCAATGCCAAGGTAGAGCCCCTTGAGTTTCCAAGACTATTTTACTGTCTAGCTGTAAGGGCCACTGGGTGGATGGCAAATTTGCATTGTTTTGAGTTTGGGTAGGGCTACGATTTATCAGGAGAGAGATGAGGCTGTCAGTTTCTGGGAAGATTGACAGTCTTGGAAACCCTACAAGGTGTGCTCTGAGCCAGAATCAACTCAACGGCAGGCTCGTCTCCCCCTGCCTCCCGCCCCACTGCTTCCCCTCTTTTGTAAAACTGCTTTAATTTCTAACGACTGTCTTATTCGATGGGAGGTATCCCCAGCGTGGACTCAAATCCCCATGCACCTCGCCCTGGAAGCCTACCTTCGATCTTAGTCTTGAAGTGAGGGTATCTGTTGAGGACCCCCACCTGCTTCCTCCAGTCAAACACCTCCTTCCAGTAGGAGATGACTTTTTTCATGTAGTTGGAGTTGAAGCCGTAGTGGAAGCCGCTGTCCTCCAGTGACGGGCTAAGACGGTTCTTCTCGATCCTCCAGTGTAAGTCCTGCAGGGTGGGGCAGAGGTTAAGGGACCGCCTGGGAAGGCCGAGCACACCCCTAGCGCTGGAGTGGCGGCCTCCCACAAGTTCCCCTGGGAAGCTGAAGGGCACAGGCCTTGGGGTCCGGGTGTAACCCACATCCTGCTCCCAGCACAGTGAGCGGCCCCTCCTCCCCTAAAATAAGGAGAACAGATCCCTGAATCGTTTTGCTCTGCCAAACGCGGTACAGGCTTCTTTCGGTAGAGCCAAAGGGAGGCTCCAGTAGCGGCGTATGCTTCGCGCAGTTAACAGCCTAGGCCAGTTGAAAACACGGCCCAACATATAGCTTAAATATAACTTAAGCTCTTCAAGAGCAATAACAAACATCTGACCCATGAGTTACCGGACAGTCAGCAACTCTCAAACAGATACTTATGAAAACGAGGTCAGCCATGCTCCTAGATATTTTGGTTGTATAAACCTTCTCCTTTTTAGCAGGCACTTGCAGGGAAAGAGATACACAATTTTTTGAGTCTTCTACCCAGAGGGCACCTAAAAAAACATGAGGTCAGCCTAAGGGGTCGCTGACTAATGAATGTCATGCTGAAGTCTGTTGAAGGCCATTAAGACAGCCTTGAGACGGCTGAGAAGGTATCATGACCCAGGTGTCAGGATCTGCTGTTTGCTTCCCTGTTCTGACATTGAGACTAAGAAAAAGAAGGAAGATGTATGCAAGTTCTGGGAAAACAATGTTTAATTTTTATCAAAGACTCCTTGACTTGGCAGAATATAGAGTTTCTGATATGTTGTGATAATAGACTAATTATAACCCCGGGTTGTTTCTGCATGTATAAAAGGAAGATGTAGAATAAACGCGGGGCTTCAGTATTCACTGTTGCCCTCCCAATACTTTGTCTCTTTTTTTCCTTAATCCTCACTCCCCCTTTCAGGACCGTTCAACTCGTCGGCAGGCTCCGACAGAAGTAGAAACAAATTCATCAAAAATGTCAGTGTTCATGGGCTTCTTCAGGTTCAAGGCCTGAGCTCAGGCGTTACTTGCCAGGGAGTTGGGCTGAATGCCGTCTGGGCTGTCCTTGGTGGGACAGCAGTAAATAGGTCCCCCTCTGGGATGTGAGTTTTGGGGACGGGGACTGGGACTGGGATGTGGTGGTCTCCCATTTCCAGGTACTGAAAGCCCACCACCCCAGGCTCAGAAAGTGCCATAGACCATAGCTGCAGGACACAGCAGCTGGCGAAAATCTCTTCCTGTGTTTGGCTGCTTCGTGGGGCCCCACGGGGCCAGTGGGGGCCCCCGGGCTTGTTGTCCACAATTACCCATCTGGTACAGTAGCTCATGGAACAAGTGTTCGAGGTAGTCCCACTCAATCGTTGGTGGAGCGAACGTGGGTGCTCATCTGTAATGTACCCAAGCTCATGGAAGCGGCAGCCAAGAGATCAAATGACGCATTGCACTGGGTAAATCTACGGCACAAGAACTCTTTCAAGCGTTGAAAAGCAAGGATGCTGCTTTGAGGACCAAGGTGCCCCGACCCAAGCCGGGGTCTCTTCAATCGCCTCCTATGCTTGTGAAAGTTGGACGTTGAAAGAAAAAAAAAAAAATCAAGCTGGATGTTGAGTGAGGAGGACTGAGGAAGAGCCGAAGCATCTGAAGAACACGGAAGGTACTGCGACTGCCGAAAGGCCAAGCCCACCTGCCTCAGAAGTAGGGCCAGCTGCTCCTTAGAGGGGAGGGCCGGGGAGACCACCTCAGCTCATGGACTTGGGCCTGCTGCCAGGACAGACTAGTCCCGGGGAAGGGCATGAAGCTTGAGAAAGCAGAGGGGCAGTGAAGAGGAGGAAGACCCTCAACAGATGGATTGACACAGCAGCTGCACGGATGAATTCAAACATGGGAACCACTGTGCGGCTGGCACAGGAGCGGGCAGTGTTTTGTTCTGTGGCCCACAGGGTAGCTCTGGGTCACAGCCAGCTCAACAATACCTAACAGCCAGCGTATGTACCCAGCAGGGAGTCTCTGGATGGGGCCGATGGTTATTGCGCTCAGCTGCTAACCGAAAGGTTGATGGTTCGAGGTTCGATGGTTCGAGGAAGGCCCAGTGATCTTCCAAAGAAAGCAGCTACTGACAGCCTCAGGGGAAAGACGGCAGCCTTGGAAGCCTGTGGGCCAGTTCCACTCTGTCCTCCGGGGTCCCAATTCCCCTGGTACTCACAATTCCTATAAGTAGGAACACACTCGGCGGCAGTGGGCTTGGTCTTGGTTTGGTTGGACAACATGCTATTGAAGAAGGACCTCTCCTCCTTCCTCTCTCCACCCTCCGATTGGGGTACTCCACTGGAGCGCCCCACAAGGCGACCCTCTCGAGCCCCAGCCCTAAGCTATGAGAGGCCAGTGGCTTGGGAGTGAGGTGGGACGGAGCTCAAGCCATTCGGCTTACTCAGGCAGTCACTTAGACGATGTGCTTTTACGCGGCGGGGCTTCAGTTTCTGCCTCTATGAACTGGAAATTCTCACCCCACGGGGTTACTGTAGGGGCTGACCATGATCACCAACAGCTGGACACACACAGCAAAGGTGCACAGCTGAGACTGGCCCTACCTTCTCGGTGCTACAGCGCTGAAGCCAGCCGGCACTGCCCCACTCTTCTAGGAGCCCTGCTGGTAATAGGTTAGGCGCTGGGCTGCTAACTGTAAGGTCGGCAGTTCGAAACCACCAGTCTCTCTGAGGGAGACAGATGAAACTTTCTACTCCTGTCAAGAGCTGCAGGCATGAAAACCCACAAGGGCGGGTCTGCCCTGTCCTGTAGGGTCCCTATGAGTGGGAGTGGATTCGATGGCACTGAGTTTGTTTTTTGGCCCCACCCTTCACTTGGGACCTATGGAGGTTGCCCACTTTCTCTGCTAGGGTCACTCCCCAGGTTTCAGGTGGGGGCTGGGGGGCGGAAGTGAAGGAGGTGAACACATGCTTTCTGTGATGCCCTGAATTGTGTCCACCTGGCACTGCTGGGCCTTGGGGAGGGGATTTGCAGCCTTGTACTGCACCAATGGGGGCATGTGGAGGAAGGGAAGAAGGCAAGCTAGGGGCACCTTCTGGAGAGCCTGTGCCTGCTCAGTGGGAGATGTGCTGACACACTCAAGGGGGGAGTCTACTTCGAAGCTCCCAGCCCCAGGCCAGACCAGAGAAACGTCAGGGATGCGCCTTCCCTCCCACGCTCTGTAAGCCCTCCACACCAGGAAAAGGCGGCTTACAGGCCTAAGGGGACCAGACATCCTGCTTTTGGCGGGATAGTCCCAATTTTTAACAATTTTCCCCACGTCCCGCGGTATTTTAAAAAAGTCCTAATTTTTTGAAAGAATGCACGACAAGCTGGGGTATACCGTTTCGGCTGTCATGTGGTTACTTTGCCAGGATATGAGTTTTATCAATGGTGTCCCGCTTTACCAATGTTAAAATCTGGTCACTTCAGGCTTACCTGGATTTCCTGGTCGGATGTTTCCACCTTGAAGGGGCGGATGCTCTCATCCTCCGCGGCGCTGGACTTCGTGCCCGGGCCCCACCAGCCAGACCCAAGGGGCAAGGTTTCTTCCTTGTCCCGGGAAACGAACCAGTAGATGGCAAAGCCCAGCACAGAGGCGAGAAGGATCTCCAGCCACATGATTCCTGAGCTGGGGGTGGAGAGAGAAGGGACGCCATCAGCAATAGAAACCACCTGGGGCCACTCCAACCCTAGGGCCAGGGAACCAAGCACCCCCTCCCCTCTGGAGCACTTCCCCAGGGGCTCCTGCCCAACCATTGATGTGATGGAGTTTTGAACTAAAATACATGGATATAGAAAAATTGGTAAACAACAGACAATGAGAAAATCCCCCAGCACCCTGAAAAGCTATGAAATTGTTCTTTGAATTGAAAGCCCTTAAGCTGGGGTCAGCCTCTTAACAAGGAGCCACCTGAGGCAGGAATAGGAATAGGCCCCTGCTGGCTCTCTCTCTCACTCAGTAGAGTCCGGCCTCAGGACATCCAAGGGACAAGGGGGCCCATTCCTCTTGGCCCCCATTTGATGACAAGTCTTGTTTTCTCAGAGGGAAGAAAGAGGAGCTGAAGCCACATATGCAGAAGCCTCTAGGCCAGCATTGTTCTCCAGCTCCTCATCTTCCACTTCTGTCTGTCTGCAGGGAGGTAACCTTAGAGAGCAGGGGGGTAGGGTGGGGTACATGCAGATAGGACCCACTGGGGCAGAGACACCCCCACGTGCACCCCAGCCACCTTGGACGCTGTCCTGGAAACCCAGACCCGGGCCTCTCGGGGGAGCCTGTGTGCCCGCCAGTCCACATGTGCTGTGCGCACACACTAGATGTCCAGACTTGCCCCTGGACTAGAGCCACGTCGCCTCCCACCGATACCATAGCCCCGCGTCTCTCAGCCACCACAGCATTCTGGGGGTGCACTGAGAGCCCAGCCCTTGCATTTGGGGTGAAGGGTTGGCGCACGCACACACACCCCCCACTACCCCCACCCCACCCCAGGCTGAGAAACTCAAAAGTGACCTTAAAGTCTTGTTTCGGTGGCACTGTGGGCAAGTTCCGACATGCCCAGACGGAGGCAGTGGGCTCTTCCCCAGCCAGTGTGGGGGAGGAATACCCAGGAGGCCCTGGCAGCTGCGAGGCTGAAATACCCAGCAGGTCACTGAAAGGTCAGCAGTTCAGGGCTACCAGCTGCCCTGAAGGAGAAAGATGAGGCGGTCTGCTCCCGTAATGATCTGCAGCCTTGGGAACTCGCAGGGGCAGTTCTGCCCTGCCCTGCGGGGTAGCGGAGTCAGAATCAACTTGATGGCAACTAACGAGGGGCAGCGGGTCCCTGGGTGGGGAACATGGTGAATGTGCTCAGCTGCCGGCACTCAGAAGGCTGACACTCAGAGGTGCCTCAGAAGAAAGGCCTGGTGGCCGTCTGCTGAGAAATCAGTCACCAGACACCTGAAGGAGCGCAACTTTACTCGGACACCCCTGAGGTCACCGTGGGCCAGCGTCAACTCCGTGGGAATAGTTTTGTTTTGTTTGTAAGGGTGAGTGCCTCCTCGTTTATGGAATTCAGGAATGAAATTGTACGCAGCCCCTCTTCATTCCCGGAGACCCGGGCCTGGGGAGCCCACCGCAAGATAATGGAGAAGAGTCAGCTCCTCGTGTCCCAGGTGGGGGAAAGCCGCCGGCCGTGGCTTTGAGTCAGTGGGGCATTTGGGAGAGCGTGAGATGAGGCAGAGGGCAGAGGCCCGCAGCAGCAGGCACAGAGGGGCACAGTCCACCTGGCAGCGACTGTCAGCCTGGGCAGGAGGGACTATGTCCTGGGCACTGCCCTACCCGTGACCACCCAAGCAAGACATCCGGTCAACGTTTGTGCAGACAGCATGGATGCAGTGGAAGCAAACAGCACCTTTGCTGCAAGGTTGTCAAGGGAGCTGCAAGCAGTCTGAACAAGACAGAGGGGCCGAGCCAACCCCAAGTTCCCAAGGGCCAGTGTTTTCTCTTGGGCAGAATGCTCCAGCGCTCCCACCTGCCCCGAGGCCTGCATCCTCGCCCTTAGACCCCTCCTCGGGAAGTGGGGAGCAGGGAGCTTAGCACACACTACAGTCTAGGGACCATAGAGGCCCCAGCCCCTACTGCCACCCCCCTAGTCCAGTGTCCCATCTGCCTTTGTAAGCCAGCCAACGCTGCCGCTCTGCCAGCGTGTTATCTCCCTGGACTTCAAACGGCAAATGGTGTAAAGTGCTGAGGTGATCGGAGGTGATCAATGGAGGGACAAAGTTCAAAGCAAGGGCACTGCAGGGGCCCGGGACTCAGTGGCCAAACCTGGCTCTAAGGCAGGGCCTCAGAGCCACCTCCGATGACAGTGGGCTTTCCTGCATTGGTGTGTGCAGGGACCACCCGGAGACTGGCCCCTTTTCATGCTGCTAGCTGCCGGGGAGCTGGTCCCTTGAAGCACTGCGCGGTGCAGCAGCATCTTCCTGCCAGCTGGGACACTGGAATCCACGGCTGCACCACTCTATGAGCGCCCTTCCGCCGGGGGCTCCTCCTCCAGCCCCGGATCAGACCGCAACTTGCTGTGGATCACAGGGCTTTCTCACGGGGGCTGCCAGGCCTTTCTTCTGCTTCTTCGTCTGGAGGCTCCCCTGACACCCGCCCACTAGGGGCATTTGAAATACCAGCGGGCATAGTTCCTGGCATCATCAAACATGCAAGCCACCCCAGCATGACAGACTGACATCTGGGCTTCATAGTGGGCGTAGTAAAGGACCCACGAGGCAGGTGCCCTGGGTAAGCCCAAGCTACAGGTGTGGGCTGTCTGCCGAGGACGAAGCAAGGCACCCGCAAATCCACACAGTAAGGAGCCCAAACGGACTTGCCTTTTCACTTACAAACGGGGCAAGCATCCGAGCACCCAAGGGCCTGGCCTCACGTCACAGGGCAATGTGAGGATCAGAAGGTGAAGATGGGTTTCCTGTCTTTGTGTGGTGCACACCCCTCCCCCAAGCTCGACCCTGCCCTTCAGCTCTCTCGGGCCCACCACCCGCACACACAGCATCGACTGCCCTGGGTGACAGCCTCTGGCCCTACACATCCTCCAGACCTTCCTCCCGGCTGGGCCCGAGGGGCACTGAGGGTCCGTGGAGAAGAAGGCAGGTCAAGCTTCCACCCGAGCTTCAGCTGAAGTGGGCCACGTGCCGCTCACGCGAGACGTAGGCAGCCAGCCACCGAGGAGATGCTTCTGACTCCCGGCCGCCCCGTGTGGGTCACAGTAGACCCATGTGTGTTAGAGGACAACTGCTTCACGGGGTTTTTCCAGCGGCTGGTTTGTCAGCAGGAGAGGGCCTGCCCTTTCTTCCGCAGTGCCTCCGGGTGGACCTGAATCTCCCACCTCTCTCAGTAAGCAGCTGGTCCTTTTAACCATGTGTCCCCCTCAGAACTCCAGTGCCAGCTGAGCCAGTTAGCAGACCTCTCTGTCCACCCATGGCCTCATCTGTCAACCTGCACAGGTTGCCCGGCTGAAAGCAGGCTTGGCAAACACACATTCCTGTCCCTTCCCCTCCATCCCTTCGGCTGTGAAGAGGAGCAGTGTGGAGGCCCACCAGGGCAGACCTGCATGCATAGCGACGGCCGAGCGGGTGGACGCCGTGGCCAGGGACCGACTTGGGAGGACAAAGGAAGACCGGAGGCATGTATAGCTCTGGCTGTACTCTGCAGGACGTGTCCCGGGGCGGTCACCTTCTCCTCTTTTCTCTGTTCCGAGAAATTACTTTCTCAGCTTGATAGGGCAGAATTCTGTTAGCTAACCCTTCCTTCTCATTTCCAAGGAGAGCTCTATCAATTTCTGGGGGGCGGGGGGAGGCCAGCTCCTGCTGTCGGAGAAAGCCTTCTAGTCCCCAGAAACATCGGCGTTGGAAGGCAGAAGACTCCATGAAAAATTCAGAAGAAAGCTGACCCGCAATGGGAGTGCCAGCTTCGTTATGCTCACACCTGAAATGAGAGCTCAGCTGCCCCTCCCCAAGGTCTAGGTGTTACCTTGATTGGATTCGTGTGTTTCCTGGTGGGGTCTCTGTAGTACATTTTCCAGAACACTGACAAAATACTGCGCTGGAAGAGTCTGGCTGGCGGCAGGAACCCTTTCCAAAAGGAAGCTTTTTTTTTTTTTTCAGACATGACCCCTCCCCAAGAAAACAATCACTCTGCTTCGCTGGGACGTTGCTTTTGTCTGATGGCTCATCGATAGTTGCCACGGCAGGGACTCTGGTTTTCACTCACTGTGACTGGACACAGGTCATCATGTGATGGGATGCGGAGCTCAGAAGGAGGCCTGATGGTGCGTGAGACAACTGACTCCTATGATCAGCAGTGAGAGTGTAAACGCTTTAATTCCCTCGGCTCTTACTGACTGGTGTCATTCTTTCAGCGACCAACTACTGGTCACAGGGACTGCCAACATTGGGCACCCGGCCCCCAACTTCAGAGCTACAGGAGTTATGCCCAAGGGTCAGTTCAAAGATATCAGCCTGGAGCTCTATGGGGGGCAACACTGGAGACACAGTGAGGGAATTGTGCCTGGGTTGACCCTCTCCACACCCGGGCAACACACGATGGGAGGGCAACAGAGCAGCCAGGGGGCAAAGCAATGAAGTCCCCGAGGAATCCCGAAAATAGATTTCCAGGGGCAGGGCTTGGCACCTCAGCAGACTCGATCAGAAAACACTCAACAGAGAGGCCTGGAACTATTTATAGGCTTTTTCCTTTTTTCCTTCTCTGTCTATCTATATAAGATAGGTAGGATAAACAATCCCAAGGAGAAAACAATGGGACCTACAGTTCCAGGACATGGGAGAGGGGAAGGTGGGGGAAAGGAAGAGGGGAGCCAATAAACACCAGGGACAAAGGAACAAGTGGCCTAAAATCGATGGCGAGGAGGGTGTAGGAGGCCTGTGGGGCTTGATCAAGTCCACTGTAGTCAAAAGGAATTACTGAAAGCCAAATGAAGGTCGAACATGATAGTGGGACAAGAAGAAAGTAAAAGGAAATAGAGGAAAGAACTAGGAGGCAAAGGGCCTTTATAGAGGTCTAAATACAGGCACATACATGTGTAAATATATTTTTATATAACAATAGGGAAATATATCTACGTACAT